ACGCATTTATTTATAAAGGTCTCTCCCATGGCCCTAGAAGGGTTCTTGGCATTATATTCTAATAACTATGCTTTTTTCTAAAAGCTGTAAAAAAATAAGTTTTTTTTTTTTTTCAAATGCGGTTAACTTTCCCTGTATGCTTATAACTGCTTCTTTTAGTTTGGATTTCCTGAGAAGTGGATCCTGAGACAACGATTTAAACACAGGTAATTTATTCTGGAGGTAATGCCAACATCACTAGGAAAAATCACTAGGAGAGCAAGGAAGTAAGGGAAGGAAGAGAAAGGAGTTAGTCAAGTGAACATTATCAAGCATGATATCACAATGGGCAAAAGAGCAAAGTCCTGCTGGGGAACTCTAGGAAATGTAAAACACACCATAGAATTATTCTAGTCAAGGGACAAATGAGCTGGGGTATTTATTCACAACTCCTGAGAGACACTCCATCAGGGCTGCCCCTGGGAGGAATTAATTCGTCAGTACTTCCAGGCTGCCATGAACACAGGGACAGCAGCCTCAGAGGGCAGTAACTGGCAGTGAAGAGATGGGCCAGGTTGCAAAGAGGTGCAAAGGAATATGGGTGGGACACTGAGAGCATCTGCTACATTTCCAAATTTCTAGTCCAGATCTCTTTATTCTGCCCTAGATTCATACACCAAACTGCCTCCTTGAACCTCTATTGTACGACCTGCCTACAAGCATCTCCGGTCTCAAACTCCTACCCTCTCCCATTTCTCTCTGATTGCAGAAATTGGTATTACAATCCACCCAGCACTCCAAATAAGATACCTAACAGTCATTTGTGATTTTCCAATTGGCTTCCAAGATTTATTCAACCAACTTCCTAAATACCTCTTCTTGCTCTTTCCTCTCACCCCATTATCTTAGTTTAAGTTCTAGTATTTTTCATCCGAATTATTTCGATTTTCTCCTAAATGGTGTATCTGTCCCTATTCTACCCACACTTATATGCTACACAATCCTCTTGCTTAATATCCTCCCAAATCCCCTCAAGGGCCTCTCCATGGCTTCAAGATTGTAAGTATTTAGTGGAGCACAATGGCCTGTTCCCCCTCTTCATTTCCAGCTCCATCTCTCTTTCATTCCCTTAAATACATTATATGCCCACAGAAATGCAGTCACAGTTCTCCACACATGATAAAGTCCAGTCTTTGCATATGTGTTTCCTTCTACCATACCTGTCTGTTTCCACATTAACTGCCCAGTGAACTCCTACTCATGTCAAACACCACTTTCATTGCCATATTGTTCCAGACTTTCCAGAAAAGCAGACATCTCTTAGGCACTAAGAATTAGTGCACTAACAATTACAGGGTAACAATCACAGCCTGTTGGGTTAATAATAAAGATATCCACGGGAATAGCATAAGTTCTTTACCTGAAGTGACACAAAGAGAGAGAGAGAGAGAGAGAGAGAGAGAGAGAGAGACTCCTAATGGAGGAGCATAACATTATTCATGATACTCAATGTTAGATATGAAAACCAAAGACCCTCTTTTTTTTTATTTTTTATTGTTTATTTATTGTTGAGAGAGAGAGAGAGAGAGAGAGAAAGTGCAAGTGGCGGGAGAGGCAGAAAGAGAGGGAGACACAGTACGTGAAGCAGGCTCCAGTCTCTGAGCTGTCAGCGCATAGCCCAATGCGGGGCTCAAACTCACAAGCTGTGAGATCATGACCTGAGCTGAAGTCAGATGCTTAACCGACTGAGTCATCCAGGTGCCCCCAAAGACCTCTTTTAAGGAGGTCTCTTCAGTCAAGAGCTCTCTTATTGAGTTATTAACAGACTCAACTTTGAGAGTCCACCATGATGAGTGAAATAAGGCATTTTAATACAAAGATTAGATTTTATTATAATTATACAGATGAATGAGTACTTTTTTTTTAATGTTTTATTTATTTCTGAGAGAGAGAGACAGCATGAACGGGGGAGGGTCAGAGAAAGAGGGAGATACAGAATCTGAAACAGGCTCCAGGCTCTGAACTAGCTGTCAGCACAGAGCCTGTCGAGGGGCTTGAACCCACAAACCGTGAGATCATGACCTGAGCCGAAGTTGGGCACTTAACTGACTGGGCCACCCAGGCACCCTGATGAATGAGTATTTTAGTGGACTACCCTGCTACATCTGTCATAGGTCACTTTATCATTAACAAACATAATCTAACCTGATTAACATTCCTGCTTTAGGGGCTCCGTAAGGTTGTTGTGTTGCTATCTGACCTCTGCCACTCCAGGATCCAGCATACCCACTGTGACTAAGGAATCAAGAACAGTATCTCTTACCTTCATCCATACACTGCAGAGGACAGACACTAGAGTACTCTTCAAAAAGGCTGGTGCTATGTTCCCAATGTATTTTTCAGTTCACTGGTATGACAACTGAAGTGTCCTCTGGGCCCTCACAGAAGAAAATAGTTTTGGGGATGGAGAGAAGGACGTGCATGATAAATCTATTCCCACATCCCAATTCTCTAAACTGTTATTTTCTTCCTCTATATTATACTGATGAATTTCTGGTCTATTTAGCTTAGTGCATGTCACTGTTGAATCCAGATTTTAATCAACCAACTGAGTAAAATGTTAGAAATACTCCCAGCTGCTCAAACCAGAATATTTAAGCCAAAATCTGGTAAGAGAACCTATTTTCTCTTACCAGAAGAGCTTCATTTCACATGATTGCTTCTGCTAGCAAGAAAAACTTAGTGGAATTTGGAGTTCAATATCCTTAAGATGCCTAAGTTCTCCCAAAGTTATTCTTATTCCAATTTTCTTCTATTTTGTAATCAATGTTCTCATGTTCATTAAGAGACCCAGCAAGGCGGCTGTGAATTTTACAATGCAGTTTACCAATTTGCAGAATCAGACCTGTGTGTCTGATGTGCAATATGTCAGTCCTTTGATAAGAAGTAAGAGATCTTTGTAGATCAGTCATAGAAACTCCCTGGATTTTTTTTCTTTTAAGCGTGCCTTGAGCTGTGAATGTTGGTTGGTTGTTTTGTTTATTAGTAGGCTCCACACTCAGCATGGAGTCCAACACAGGCCTTGAACTCACAACCCTGAGATCAAGACCTGAGGAGAGATCAAGAGATGGACACTTAGCCAGCTGAGCCACCCAAGTGCTCCGAACTGTGAATTTTAAATCTTAAGCTATTATTTTCTTTCTGTAAGCCCTCCAGTACAGTTAGAAAGAGACAGCTTGGGGCTCCTGGATGACTCAGGTCTTGATCTCAGGGTTTGTGAGTTTGAGCTCCGCATGGGACTCTGTGCTGACAGCTCAGAGACTGAAGCCTTCTGATTCTGTGTCTCCCTCTCTTTGCCCATCCCCCACTCATGCACACACACTCTCTCTCTTTCCCCCGCTCTCAAAAGTAAATAGATATTTAAAGATTTTTAAAAGAAAAAAAAGAAAACAAAGAGCCAGCTTACCTTATAGGGTATCACCCCGTATGGTATTATCATATCTAGGGGGACTATTTATCCCAGTTCGTCTGGTACCACCCTGCTTACATCTGTTACCTTAGAATTGTTAATGACATTTTCACTTTTAAAAGTGTCTCACCTGAACCATAAGTTATGTTTTCCCTTCAAGTACCTCTGGCCTACCCAAAGCAACCATTTATACTACAATGGACACTCAGAGCCACCACAATGAAAATTTCATTACGAAATGACGTGAGCTATCCTTTTCCTACTTTCAAATGCTAACAGAGTCCCCATTGGTTTGAGGCTAAACAGATAATCAATCTTAGATTCCAATGTTCTTGAGGGTGTGTTCCCTATAATCAACTTCAGTATGAATAAGTACATGAATCAAGATTCTTAGATATAGACCACAGAATTTACTCCAGTACTAAAACAAACAAACAAATTCACTATAGAATATTAGGAGCTTATAGAATTCTGAGAGAGCTAAAACAAAATCTATATTCACAGCCAAGAATAATGTAGCCAAAAAAAGTCCAACATAAGACTGTTTTATCAGAAACCTTAATCATTGTCATTCACACTTGGCGTCAAAGATGGTTCGAGACAGTAAACTCATTACCAGAGCTGCCCAAAAGATTTGATCTCCCTGTGCATGACCCTCTATCCCACATTGTTCCCATCAGCTTTCTAAGTTTTGTGCAGATTATGTATGGAACCCTCGTTAGGGAAATGCAATGTACTTTTTACACATAAGATCCCTTTAATTTACAAGGCATATTAGAGAAGCTTTGGTGAAAACCCAAAACAAGCCAATCTTTAGTATCTGTCAAGAACTGGAAAAGACTATAGAGAAATCCATATGGAAAAAAAGGTGATTGTAAGAAGAGTGGTGGTAACCGCAGAATTTTTTTTTTTTTTATGTTTTATGTATTTCTGAGAGAGACAGACAGCATGAACAGGGGAGGGTCAGAGAGAGAGGGAGATACAGAATCCGAAACAGGCTCCAGACTCTGAGCTAGCTGTCAGCACAGAGCCTGAAGAGGGGCTCGAACCCACGAACTGTGATATCATGACCTAAGCCGAAGTCAGACGCTTAACTGACTGAGCCACCCAGGTGCCTCGTGGAATTTCTATTAAAAAAGTTTAAGGAGCACTATTTCATTGGAAGGGGGTTTACAGGATTCGCCTTGAAGCTGTGTTTGCATAGCAAGCACACTGTTCTTAACTCAGTTGTTTATTTCAGGTGGTACCTAGGAGGGTTAATGCAGGTCTGCACCAGACAAATGAGACAAACCTTAGCACCAAAGCCAGATGGAAAAGGTAAGAAACTCCAAGACTATTACTCCTCCTTCACACATTGAACTGGGATGCCCCTAAACATCAAAGTAAAATGACAAGAAAGCCTTTGAATAAAGTGTTCTACCATATTGACAATAGTCTTCCCTAAGCAGGTCTGCAAAAGAGACTAATTTTTAAAACAAACTTGGGATATAATTTCTAAAAATACAAACTGTTACAAAATACTTAAAATTCAGAACTTTCAGATAACCTTGGATTTTTTATTTCTATACTTATCACATCCAAACTGGCACAAGCAAGGAGGACTAAATATGTTTTCCCTTCTTTAAATGGCATCATTGGTTTTGGGTTTTGTTGTTTTTGTTTGGTTCTCAGGTTTTGTTTTGTTTCTAATTTGAAAATACCTCTTTGCTTTCAAAGCAGGTTTGGGGCAATAACCGTATTTATGTCGGTGGGACTCCTGGGATGGCTTTTTCATTGCCTCAAGTAGGCAGGCGGATGTTCCAAAATGTATTTTTTGCATGTATTTCCTTTTTTTGTTTTTTTTAAATCAAGCCATAAGGTGAAAACTTTATATCACAAGTTAAAGAGGACACAAGGGAAATCATTCCTTTCATTGCCCATTGTGGACTTCGTGAGGGAGAGAGGGAGAGGGGTCTGTGCTGTTACACGTAAAGTTTGCAGATCTGCTGGCTTCTCAGTTCATAGCACTCGACTCCCTGGCTCCTCAGCAGCTCCTTCTCTTCTGCTGCATCTCGAGCTTTCAAGTGGGGGAAGTGGGCCGGAGAGGTGATGAAATCATAGTGCCGCTCCAGGTACCGCAGGTAGATGAGCATGTGCAGAGCGTAGGCCAGCACGAGCAGCAGGATCAGCGACATGGCCAGGCCGATCAGAATGGCTGGTGAAAAGGAAGAGGCACAGTCGCGGGCCTTGGCAAACTCCCTCCCCTTGATGGTAAAGCCTTGGATCTGTCAAGGAGAAAGAGCTGAAGTGACATATTCTTTCTCTCCTAAGATCTACTTCTCAGTTGGGCTGAGGGTTCTGGACTCCTGATTAACCAAATTTAAAACAGTGGAGGCGGACTTTACTGAATAATTTGAGCATATGACCTAACTAACAAATGTGAGTGTGCTTATGGGGACAGTGAAATAATTTTTAATTAAAATCGACCCACATACTCTGAGATGTATGTTTATCATAATTAAGAGGCTGATGAAGTTCAAGGCTCTGAAATAAAACTTCTTGTAATCTGATCTAAATACATAACTACATGGTGTCTATAAATTCAAAGTGCACTCACAATTTTATAAACGTTAGTTATAATTCCACAAGGAATAATAAGTCTCAGTTCCTCTGCTTTGATTCTGTTGACAGGAAGTGGACAGGAAGAGTCTCTTAAGAGGGGATATCATGATTCCCAATGGAGCAAAATATAGACAATAATAAAGGCTAACACTTAATGAAGATTTTTATGTACTAGATATTGCCCTAACTCATTTAAAACTCACAAAAACCAATGAAGAAGTTACTGTTTCATGGATGAGGAAACTAAGGCACACAAAAGTTAAATAATTTGCCCAGAGTCACTCAGCATTAAGTGCAGTGAAGTTATAATTCAAACCCAGGCAGTTTGACTTTAGAGTCACTTCTCAGTTTACAACTCCACAGCTTCTGATGTGTTCTGTCTCTTCTTCCTCCAGACGCTACCTCCCCTTCTTTATCAGTTGTACCATACAGACTTGGTACTGTTTTTGGAAGAGCTGTATACCAGCCCTTGTTTTACAGCCTGCCCAGAGAATGTAAAGAAGAGCTTTCTCGTATGTGCTGGTGAAGTGGCTCAAATCCTTGGAACTAGAAGAGGTTCAAATCAACAACTGGCTCTGTATCCAAATACTGTCTCAGTGAAAGAAACGGGGCTACAGAGTAACTAAATAAGAGCTATCTTTTGTGCAAGGCAGCTCCCATACTTAGCTGGCTTTTGGAAAAGAATTCTAAACAGCATCACCTCTGTCACCTAGTGGGTTTTAAAGGGATACATTAAAAAAAAAAACTGAATTATCCATGAATGCTTTAAGTGACAACTCATTTTTTATGACTTAAGTGGGTGCTTTCACATATTTTCATGATGAAATAAATGACATTAGCTGTAGACTTTGGAGGCCTTGCTCGCCCAGTTGTCTGTGCACTAGACTGAATCTAAAACAGCTCCTGAAGGAGACTCTTGGCTTGGTTTCTGGGATCCCTGGCCTGCCTTTCTCTGAAGAGGCAAAGTGAGGGGCACCTGGGTGACTCAGTCCCATGCTGCACCAGACCAGGGACGAAAGTGTTCCTCGCATGCACATTCTCAGTAGTGTTATGAACCTCAAGAACAATGTAACTGAGTGACTCTTTCATATAGTAGATGCTCCAAAGCTTTGGAGCCAAATCACTGTGCCGCTTCTGGCCAGGTCAGACAGATGGCCTTGCGGTTTTGTGTACTGGCCTCACTGGTGGCTCTAACTAATCTTTTCTTCCTTTGCTTTTCCTAAGCCCCATGTTGTTGCCCATTTTTTTGTTTGTAAAATACACATAACATAAAATCTACCATCTTAATCATTTTTAGGTCTACAGTTCAGTGGTATTAAGTCCATTCACATTATCGTGCAACTATTATATCACTATGATCTATCTCCAGAACACTTTTTCATCTTGCAAAACTGTAACTCTATAGCCATTGAACACTAATTCCCCATCCTCCTCTTCCCCCAGGCCCCTGCGAACACCATTCTATTTTTTGCTTTCAAATCTGGCTACTGTAGATACTTCCTATAAGTGAAATCATACAAATATTTATCCTTTTGTGTCTGCTTCATTTCATTTGGCGTAATGTTAAGGTTTATTCCTCCCTTTTTAAGGCTGAGTAATATTTCATTGCATGTACACACTAGGCTTTGTTTTCATTCATCCATTGATGGACATTTGGGTCTATACATGGAACTATCTTTTGGCTATTGTCAATAATGCTACGATGAACATACAAATCTCTGTTCAAAAGCCCCTGCTTTCAATTCTTTTAGTATATACCCAGAAGTAGAATTACGGAGTTACGCAGTAATGCTGTTTATTTTTTGAGAAACTACCATAACATTTTCCACAGAGGCTACACCATTTTCCATTCTCAATAGCAATGTACAAGTTTCTAATTTCTCCACATCCTTGCCAACATGTGTTATTTTCTGTTTTGGGTTTGCTTGTTTATTTTATTTTTTTTTTAATAATAACCATCCTAACAGGTGTGAAGTGGTTTGTGCATTTTTCAAGGTTAATTTTCTTACAGTCATCTTTTCTTTAAGTCATCTTACATCATTTCCAAAACAAGGTAGAGGCATCAATCACGCAATTCCTCTGTTCCAATCAGGCAAGATTATGTGTGAATTATTCCTTGTTTTCATTATTACTTCCTGCCCTTCCTGCCTTGCTTCTCTTTCTAAAGAGCAACTGAGAGATATCTATATAATATATACTTTATAAATGTTGATAAATACATATGCATTATGTATGTTATAATGTGCCTTTGAAATCAAACAGTTCGGAATTCAAACTCTGCCTCTACCATTTACCAGTTATATCACTTTGAGAAATTATTTAATCATCAGAGCTTCAGCCATCTCATTTGTAAAACAGGCTAATGACAGCAATCTTGTGACATTGTGATGAGGTTTGAAGACAAAGTATGTAAAATAACCACAACAGTGCTGGCAGAAAGAGGACTCAAAAGTAGTAGTTACTGTTCGTCCACGACTGACACAGTCCTGGGTGTTGTCACATATTTTAGGCCATGATTTCTTCACATCCATAAGTGGTAGGCCAGAGATTAAGAAGGTGAAAAGGCTGACCCAAGCAATCTGAAACCAAGACTTGCTTTCAAACACTAAAACATAAGCTCCTTCCCTACCCTAAAGTACCTCTCAACACTACCCCTCTCCGAGCTGGGGGGGAGAGGAAGTAAATCTACTTACTTTTGGAAAAGACTGGAAAGTGCCCATAGGGGCAAGCAAAAGCCTGCCTATTTCAGTGAGGTGGAAGAACAAGGGAAACTTTCTTAAACAGTAAACAGGACAGAGGAAGTTGACAGATGTCTCTCTGACTCTCTGGTGGTGAAAAGAAACCTCCTCATGCTCCCATGCCTTTCCCCAAATACTTTCAAGAGGATCTACTGTGATATTTTTGACTCCCTGGCTGACAGTTCCATTTGTATGCTAACTGCCAAAGCTGCCACTCAGGCTATAGATGTACTTCTTATCTGTCCTGATAGGATACTCCCTGAAGGAAATAAAGTAATTGCCCAAGAGCTCCTCTCCCCAGAAGGGCCTCTCAATCCAGGAAGTGTCAGTCACTGAGCTTCACACCACAGCTTCATTCCACTTTAGACTGTGAATGTGTGAATGTGAATGCAAAGGCAAGTGGGAAAGAGGCATAGGAGGTGGGTAGTGCACAGGGAGAGGAAACATTCTATTCTTTCCCATTTCAAAACTCAGAAGATTAAAAATACATATACCAATATTATTTTAAAGGTATCCATTCTTCTCTTTTACCTAAACATCTGTATTTAGGGGAAAAATCTGAGGTTTTTCTGGCACCAAAAATACAGGTGAACTGAGCACCTGTTTTAGTTTATTACCTGGAAATCAACAAAAGTGACCTCCCACAGGCTTGACGTATCATCCACGTAGCTGGGCAACAAGAGGGCATCATACCGCTGCAGGCTGCTGACACGCTGGCAGTGGTAGGAATAACTCGATGGAGCATATATGTCAGTGGCATTAAAAATTGCTTGTATCGAATTATTGAAAATAATCTCGACTCGGTGTAGACTAAACCAGCTCCGGATATACAACTTTTTGTAATTGGTAAGGGTGAATCTGAAAATGATTACACACAGTATTACTCCTAAAACAATTTGATTTTGCTACACAGGAAATCATCTACTAACAGTGCAATTGCACCCTCTTTTGTCAGGTAGTAGAACTGGCTCAGAGAGAGTTTACTTCTAGTTCTGGAGAAGAGTCTCCTGATGGATAGGAATGAAAGCAAAAGACAGGGCAGACCCCAAAAGTGAAGGGTATGAACTCCTTCAAAAAGAAAAACACAAAGAAACTTGTTCTATTTTTGTTTTTGTAATCAAAACTTGATTTTATCTTGCAAAAGGTGGAGGAAAACTAAATGGACACTAATACAGAATTAGTCAAATAAATAATGGTCAAAATAATAAAAGCTTTTACTGTGTCAAACATCCTTCTATTATTTAACATGCAATAGATAATAATATTATCCTCATTTCACAGGTGAAGAATCAAAACACACAGGAGTTAAAGAAATAACTTGTGCAAATTTACTCAGAGATTAGGTATGGGAGCAGGGCTTCAAATCCAATTTGAGATGAGAGCCCTTACTCATAGCCATTCTGGAATGGAATATTCTCCAGTAGTAAAAAAGTTATAATATGTCGTGATCATTTCTTCATTTAAAAAAATGTATGACTGCACAGAAAAAACTTCTGGAAGAACAGAGAGCAAAATACTACTGATTACAAACGGAGATTAAATTATGAATGATTTTCATGTTCTTTTCATAGATTAACATTTTCTGATTTTTCTGTTTTCTGGACATGTATTGGGCTCCTACAGAGGCAGACCCTGAGACAATGACATGAACAGAAGTATTTGGGGGCATGATCCCAAACTTATATGGCAATTTAGTCATTCAAAATATGTCAAATGGGGAAAAGAGAAATGACAGAGGAGTGGAAGGCACCCTAAAAGGACACATTATTAAGCAAGTCTCCACTATGGGCAAGTGGGGTTTGATGCCCACGGGGTGCTCTGGGAGCCAGGGTAGTTCACATGCCTGTTATCTGATCTGAGGGTGAGGGAGCTGGGGTATTTATACACTTCTTCCAGTCATGGATTGAGAGCTGCTGAGGTAGTGATAAGAGGGAGTGGACCTCTCTGTCTAAAGAAAGCTTTTACGTAAGGAAGGGCTGACAGTTCAAAGCTGAGCGGGTCGACTACGACATTCTCAAACGGAAATGCCCAAAGTGAAACACAGCTAGGGTAATTATAGCATCTTCCATACACCTTTATCATCAGAAAAAATAAGAATCATAAAGCTAATTTCCTTTTAGGGAAAAAAAGTGCTGTTTGAATAAAAACTATTCCTCATTCCTATATGAAACAGATATGTGTATTGGGTTTGTATGTATGTTTACTCACCTTGTGGGATTCTTACTTTCCTTATAAAGCTTCTCTGAATATGACGATATGTACTTTCTAAACTATGATCAGTGAAACATTAGTGTTTCATGACATGTAGACAAATACTCTGAGGAAAGAGCTTTCCAAGGTAAACAGGAAACATGAGGTTACTTAAAGTGACCAAGTGCAGGAATCTTCCTTAAAAGCATGTCTTCTAGAAACTTTAATATACAAATTTATAGCATGAATCTCCAAGAGGAGGAAACACAGCGCAGTTTTTCTCAAACATATCTGAACACAGATCCCCTTTCTTGGGGAATCTTGTAAATATTTTTACAAAGCAGAAGTGTTCCACGGAACAGAGCTTAGGAAAGACTGCCCTAGCATATCCTGCCGGTTTTTCAAGTAATGTTAAAGACACGGCTGTTTGTCTTCATGAAAATGTGGGTCTTATAGAAATGGAAACACTTTATTATTATAAGAAAAATATATAATGCTTTCAGATTGTCCCCCACTCCTTGAGCAGTTCCTAACTGTGTGGCAGATATATCCTTCCACACACAAGCACAGCAAAATGTAGGCCTGTGTTGTCTGCTGGGAAATTCATCTAACAGAGACTTTTTTGCTGTTATTTAATGATAAGTATGATTCACTGTAAGGTGTTATATAGAAAATAACATCAAACTAGAGCCTCAGTGTCAGAGCTTTACATATATTTTGTTCTTTGCTCAGACGAAAAGAGTATCACATTCTCAGGTTCATATGATTTCTAGGTCTTAACTGAGGAAGGAAAAACTATATAGATGCTTTGGTAGAAATTGAAGAAAGCATTATGATAGGGCCGCAACATAATATCACTGACTTTGTACAGTTAGTTAAACGTGGCATTTCACATGCCACAGTGCTTGGCACGGAGCAGGACCTTGGTATTACATGCTGCATGAGTAAATTATACAGAGCTAAACTGGAGTGCTGAATATATGACCTTCCAAAGTAGTATCCATACCTACCTTATATCAAGACCTTTGGGACTTTCAGCATCACCAAACTTCAGAGATAAACTAAGAAAACAGAAAGAACACAGTCCATCAAAATAGAAATAACCTTTATATGACACTATATTTAAAAAATGACCTCAAAATGAAACAATTAAAGTTATATAATAAATAACACTAGCAATTCAATAATAAGAAGGCAACCAACCTAACTTAAAAATGGTAAAAATACACAAATAGCTAATACATACATGAAGATGCTGAGCATAATTAGCGATCAGTAAAATATAAAATAAAACCACAATAAGATGAAAGCACCATGATACAGTAATTGAAATGGTTAATTTTTTTTAAGAACCCATTCTTAAGCTTTTATTTTTTTAAAAATATTTTTATTTATTTCCAGGAGAGAGAGAGAGAGACAGCGTGTGCAGGGGAGGGTCAGAGAGAGGGAGTCACAGACTGAAACAGGCTCCAGGCTCTGAGCTGGCAGTCAGCACAGAGCCCGACGCGGGGCTCAAACCCACGAACCATGAGATCAGGACCTAAGCGAAAGTCGGACGCTTAACCGACTAAGCCACCCGGGCGCCCCCCACTCTTAAGCTTTTAATATCCATATTTATTCACACTTTTCTGAAAGTTAACAGGAGATTTCTGGGAGCAGAGACAGATTATTACTAACTCATAGCAATAACCACATTGGTTACCCTTTACTTTGCAGAGTTTTTAAAATATTTATTTATTTTGGGGTGAGGAGGGGTAGAGAGAAGGAGACAGAATTGGAAGCAGGCTCCAGGCTCTGAGCTGTCAGCACAGAGCCTGATGCAGGGCTAAAACTGAGGACCCGTGAGATCATGACCTGAGCCAAAGTGGGATGCTTAACTGACTGAGCCACCCAGGGGCCCTGGCTCCCTTTTTAACTGAATTCTTTTGCCTTAGCAACAGGATGAGACCAAGATATCATCCTGTACATACTGGGATTTGTAATACAGATGAGGAACACCTGTATTCCTCAGGTGATTATGAATCTGGGAGTTTATATAAGAGGGAGACAGTGCTCTCCCTTCACCTCCTGAGAGAGGAAGAAAACATTTGCTTCCTTACTGTCCAAGTGTCCATGAAACATGAAAAGAGAAGGACACTAGCTCACTGTGAGGTACCTACCTCACAATGTAAGCAGATGAGTTTTATCAGCCTTTGAATGGGAGCAAATAGCTCATCATAAAGGAGACAAATGGCTGCAGGTCTAATACCCATGAATGTAAATAAACGTCTCTAAGAGGAAGACAAGAAGCCTCTTGGGGTTTCCAAGTCCTGCAATATGTCCATGGTCCTGAGGCTCCTTACTCCTGAGAGGTAAACACTTTCTTCTAAGGAGATGAATCTAACTAACTGACTAACTAACTCCAAGACTTATTTTCTTAACCTAGTAAAATTTGTCCAGAAATTGCTAACCATGGAGAAATAGTAAAAATATTTATTTACAGTCCCTCGTTGACCATTCCAAGTGTTAATGAGGGTGTGAAGCAACTGGAGCCTCCTCATACAATTGGTGGATAGGCAAATGGTACAATGACTTAAATAAAACAATTTGTTGGTTTCTCAAGAAGCTGAACATACAAATACCACATGATTTGGCCATTCCCCTCCTCGGTATTTATCTAAGAGAAATGAAAATATTTGTTCCTACAAAGATTTAGACATGAATGTTTAAAGCAACTTTATCTGGAAAGCTATCTAAAAACTGGGCAAAAGTCAAATTTCCATCCAGAGGTAGATGGATAAATAAGCTGTATAGGTATGTCCATACTACAGAGTACTTACTACTCAATGGTAAAAAGAAACGTAACTCTGACATATGCAGCAAAGTACAAGAATATCAAAATAATCATGCTAAGTGAAAGAAGCCAGTCTAAAAAAGAGGATATACTATATGACCATATTTATACAAAATTCTAGAAAATTCAAACTCATCTATAATGACAGCCGATCAGTGGTTACCTGGAGGGGTGGGAGTAGCAGGAGAGAAAGATTACAAAGGGGCACAAGGAAACTTTTGAGGGTGAAGAAAATGTTTGCTGTTTTGATTATAGTAATGGTTTTATGGGTGTACAAATACATCAACGCTGACCAACATGTGTACTTTACCTATGTGCGATATAGTGCATTTCATTATATTTCAATAAGGTTGAAAAATAAGAATGAGAAAAAGCTAAATAACTAAAATGAGAGAATGTGAAAAATTTAAATACAGAAAGGATGCTGCTGCTATGTGACATTATAATGTCTAGACGTTATAACACCTCAACATACGCTATAAAACCAAAAAAGCTCAAGTGGATAGCTATAAAATGTCAAATTACAAGCTTGAAAAAAACTCACACAAATATAAACTCGTTAACTTGGTCCTACTTATCAAGAAAGGGGAATGTCAGTGATTGAGCTTAAGTTTATCTTCATACTATCTATGGGATAAGGGGTATTTATAAAATAAACCTGGTAAATAAAGTTACTAAGAGAATTATCTTTATTTCCTAACATTATAACCTCAGACACATTAAAAGCATGCTTTTATAAACATGCTATAAGGTAATTTACTCAGCTAAACAAGCTTCCAAAAGGGCCTTTCTCCAGTAATATTCTGATAGTCTATTACAAATTACTTAAAACTTCAAAGAAATAAAATGTGCTTCTTAAATAGTATTTTATAAATTTCACTGGATACCTACTGTAACAGAAATTTCTCTACTTCTTTCAAGGAATCAGAATAGCTTAGTTATCTATAAACTGGCTCTGTAGCTGAAAAACTAAAACTCAAAGCAAAGCCACACTGAGCCCACCCTAACTTCTGTCCCCTGCTCCTGATGGAGCAGCTCAACAGCATCTACACTTCTGACCCTCCAGGCGGTCTCTCCCCCAGTCCTGGTTTCAGTGAAAGCTGTTAACATGCTCTGCTGCGGAGTAAAGAACATGCTTGATTTCAATGAAGCAAATTCAACAATCATTCAGTGAGACTCTTACATGCCAGGCTCTGCACCATTACCTGGGAACACGAAAGAGAAATACAATCTAGCAAGTCACTCAAAAAAGAGATGCTTTAACTCTTCCAAGCACTCTAACCTCCCATGTTTAAAACGGACTCTGAATTCTCCAGACTGTAATTGCCTAAATTCAAAATATGCACAGATGCTCAGATTATGCTCTATTTGTAGGGCTTTCACTATTTAAAAAGACTTCCGTAGCAAATCTGTCTGCCAACAATTTGCCTTTCCCTGAACATTTTGTTTCCAACCACTAAAACAAGGTCATCTTTTTTTAATTTGTGCTGTTGACCTTACATGGTTATGTCTTTTACTTGGGTTTATTCTTTCAGTAACTCCCTTTCTGGTTCTTGAGAATATACGATTTCCTTGCCAGCACAGCAAAGGCGTCTCACTAATGTCCACAAGTCACAGGAATGAGGGACAATTTCAGTATCTGGTCCCTGCATACTTCATGGACTGGGAAGCCTCCCACTTCTGCCCTTGGGTGGGCTGTCCCAGATGTATGCGCACACCTCTAGGAGGCGGGTGCTGTTCACTCAGAACTTGTCCCAGGAGAATTATTAGGCGGTGACCAAGAAGAAAAATCAGGTCCCCTAATTATTTCACTGTGCATTTTGAAAACCAGAGCTTCCCTAGGTCTCTCCACCAGCAAACTTGGCACTATTTCACTCTAGTTTATCATTAGCATGTTAGGAAAATAATACTATCACTTTGAATAGCACCTGACAAGTTCTTGTACATACATTTCCCCATTTGATTTTTTAATGTTTTTTTTTTTTTCTTTGAAAGAGAGAAAGAGAGAGCACTCACACACGATCAGGGGAGGAACAGAGAGAGAGAGAGAGAGACAGAGACAGGGAGACAGAGACAGAGAGACAGAGTATCCAAAGCATGCTCTGCACTGACAGTTCCGAGCTCATTGTGGGGCTTGAACTCAGGATCACAACCCAAGCCAAAGTTGGACACTTAACCAACTTAGTCACCCAGGTGCCCCTCCCCATTTGATTTTCACCATGCTATGAGATAGGGTCAACAGACAAGAGGTAAAATGCCATTGCTAAACACATTTTAGACCTCAGGTCTATTACCAAACAAGCTGTATGATCTTACAAATATCCTAACCTCTATGAGTCTTGATTTCGGATGGTAACAGTCTGTGACCCCAGGACTTTTTCACAGTATTGTGAGGAATAACAGATACTGTGCCTGTGAAGTCCTTGCACTGTGCCTGGTCCACAGCAAGTGCTCCAAGCCTGTTACAATGAATAGATGCCATCATCTCCATTCACAGATGATGATCTTATGGCAGCTCCTATTTGTAAAGTCACAAAGCTCACTGGTAGAACTGGGCCTAGAAGCCAAGTTTTCATTCTTTCTGTTTCTGGGTTCCCAGTGATCATTAAGATTTCTAAAGCCCAGCAAAAAACCGTGGTGCTCTGATCTCCCCCACAAACATCCTGGGGTCAGAATAAATGGAATCAAGGAGGGCAGGTCAGCCACAGACAGGCAAGATGATCCCTAGGCAATCAGCTTCTCTCCAGGCAGCAGACCACAAATAAAGAGCCCTGTAGGGAATTAATTAGAGCCTGAGGAACAAGTCATGAGCTGTCAGCAGTGCTGGAGTCTCTGTGGTAGTCTGTGCTGCAACAGAATAAACAAATCTGGGAGCACTCTGGATGCTTACACTTAGAATCCTCTAATTTTCTAATAGGAGACAATCATTCTGAGTAGCAAGATGCTTACTAACACTTGTAATATAACTTGTAATATTAATATAATTCATTTTTACCCATCATCAATAATTTTTAAATGAAAAGTAAAGTTCTGGAGTACAAATGCCAAGGTATATAAACATACACACATACACACACACACTCACACAAATCTCCAGTATACATAAGCATATTGCCCATCTCAACCAGGCCAGAACAAATGCAGACAATCTTCCAAAAGCTTTCATTATACTTTTCATTATACCTTGTTGAAAACAAGGAGATTTGCAGAAAGCAAGTGGGATATGCCAGACTTACTCCTTCTTGACCAAAACAAATACAAGCAAAAAATTTTTGTTCAGATGACTAAAAGCAGAGAAAGGCATTGGACACTGACTTTCTCTTCAAAAGGGATATCTGTTTAACCTGCTTGTCTCAAATCAAAAGCAATTATTATAATCATTTTGAAGAACTGTTCTAAAGAATTCTCTGAAATCTGGCCTTTCAAAAGTACCCCTGCAAACTGGCAACATTCAGCAACTTCAGAATACTCCTTAGAATCGGGACTCTTCTCTGGCCAGTTAGCCTTAGCGGTTTCCCTCAGTAGAAGATGTAGGATTCTGCTCACTGATACATGATTTTCTCCCTGCTGGGACAAAAGTAGTTGGACATCTCACATTTGGAGTTGATATCAAGCCTGGAATCCTCTTCATTTTTCCCAACGAGTTTGGAAAACCTTCTTTTTCACAATTCTGATTCTCCTCCAGGTATTACAACAAGAAAATAGCCAGGAAACATATTTTTAAAATTAATTTGACTTTTCTTTCATTTTAGACAATAAACATTTCCTCACAGATGTGTTTCAAGTTCACTACAAACGAACCTACTTCCATCTTCTGAAATGCCAGAAAACTTGACAGCCCAGTTAACAGACTACATCGCCCTAAGGGCCTCCTCCAGCAAAGCAGTCAACTTACGTGGCACTTTCTTCACTGCAATTTGAGTTGCTAGTGTCCACTGTGGCCTTCTGGCCAAAAGCTTCATCTGTAAAATCCAGCCAGGTCTGATTTTTAAATTTTATTGTGATTCTTTTGGCCCAGAAAAGAATGCAGGGAATTCCATCCATAGAGACATTAACTGGGCTATGCTGGCTGAATGCATTCCAAGGTTCTTTTTCCAAAGGTCCTTGTTTGCCCAGAGTGCCGTTGAGAGTCTAGTTAACCAAAAAAACAAAATTTAAGAGATGGGTTTGTTTCCATGGTACAAAAGGCTTCTGGGATGTAAAAGGATTAATTCACAACCTATTGAAACTCTGATCTCTCCAGCTCCAGAGTCCATACTATGGGACAAAGGAGATAGGGGGACCCATCTTAATCATAACAAGCTAAAATGATACGTATGCCTGAAAGGTATATGAAACTAGTTCCATAAAGCACCAAAACTGGACAGGAACAAATTGTTAAAAAAAAAAACAAAAAAAACCAACTTTGTGAATAATAATATTAGCAATATAGGCTTTAAAAAGTCACCAGGCTGGGAGAGATAGTGAGGATGAATAGGTGGGGCACAGGTTTTTAGGGCCATGAAACTATACTCTGTAAAACACTATAACAGTAGATAGATAACATTATACATTTGTTAAAACCCATAAAATGTACAACACAAAAATCCTAGTTAATAATAATCTATCAATATGGGTTCATCAACTTTATCAAAGGCACCACACTAACACAAAATGTTAAATAAAAAGGAAACTGGATGGGGGAGGGATTGAGTAAGCATACAGGAATCATATTTTGTTCAGTTTTTTTTTTTTTGGTAAATCTACAGCTATGCAAAAAAAAAAAAGTCTAGTAATTAAAAACAAAAATTCAATATGCCATGTAAATAAGAACCTGAATAATGCAGGACTTTAAAATAAAGAAATTAACATGTTAAACAAACACACAGAGGTTTCTAAATACCAAGCATAATTCTCCAGACCATTAATGTCCAATAGAACATTCTGGAATACTGGATATGTTTTATATCTGCACTGTCCAGTGCATCATCAGACACTGGCTGTATGTAGCTATTATGGCACTGGACATGTGGCCAGTGCAACTGTGGAAATTAATTTTTAATTCTACTTAACATTATTTCATTTGAGTTTAAATTTAAATTTAAATAGACACATGTGGCTAGTGGCCACTGCTTAAGACTGCAGCTCTAGATCATTTAATATACATAAGATAACAGTGAATTCTAACATCATTCTTCATCTCATGAACCCCTTACTGACTTCTAGGAAGCTCAAGACAATGCACTTCGGTACTTAACCCTGGAAGTCACAAAGGCAGGTCTATATCTGAAAGAAGATCCACTTACTTATACCAACTATTCCATAGCAATTACTCTAGTATAAGTACAGATAAAACAGAAATTAAAGAGGCAGCAGCAATCCAAGCTTACTAGTAACCAAAGATTAACTGTTACTATAGCGATCCTGTCTGGAAAGTAACAAAAGTAAAACTGAATATTGTAATGAAAACATACAAGAGCAACTAACACTTTCATTTTTTTCTTAATATAAGACTACTATAATACATTTCCCCACCCAAAGCTTAACCAAGGATGTTAGTTATTAACAGGATTATTATTTATATTTTCACAGTGGCTCTGACCTGATTGAAACATGTTTAATTTTTTTTAAGATACAATCTAGTTACCTAACATATCCATACCTGTGTGATTGGTATTGTTGTGGAATTCTGTCTTTGTTTCATATCTCCATTACTCTGCTGATCTGTCAAATAAATGATATGAGTACAAAGGCTAAATGTCACTTATTTATGAATATAACCGAATGACAATAAAATGCTAAGCAATGTGAAATATACCAGGCTTGAGCCTCTTCTGACTAATAATTTAGAATATACTAGTTTAAGAGATTTTACATAAAAGACTCCTGCTACAATCACCAGTGTTCAGCAAAGCCCACAACAGACAATAGCCTTCTCCTCAACCCTTCAAGGAATCATAAGGACAAATACAGGTCTTACCAGTTATAACCGTCTTATCTGAAGATGTTCGAGAGATGAAACTAGGAAAAAAAAAAGATGCTGAACAAATATCTAAATTTCAGATTTTATAAGAAATTTTAAGGAGAATATTTCAGTTTATAATACATCAAAGCAGAAGGCAGAACCTTACTTGTCAAAACTGTTTACTTTTCCATAGTGAATTTCTGACTTAAAAAAGTAATACAGGTTCTTCAAAGAAAATATGAAAAATTCAGATTTTTAAAAAATTTGTAAGTATCAACCCTAATCCTTATCCAGTGAATATTATTATTGAAGGCCTACTATGTGCCAACCAGTGTGCTAAACACTGGGGTTTAAGCAAAAATAAACAATAAACCAAATAATAAAATAATGAAACATAATAAAATATTTTACTGTATTACATTTACTGAAATTTTGTATTTATTGTACTGTTACTATATTAAAGCAAAAAAACTCAATCTTTTTTATTAAAAAAAGACAGACTCGAAACACCTGAGTGGGTCAGTCGTTTGAACGTCGTACTCCTGATTTTGGCTCATGTTATGATCTCACCATTCATGAAACTGACCCCCATAACAGGATCCACGCTGAGTGTGGAACCTGTTCGAGGTTCTCTTTCCCTCTCCTTCTATCCCTTTTCCCCACCTGCGTACTCACTGGCTCTCTCAAATGAAATAAGCATTTTAAATTAATAAAAATTTAAAAAGACTCAAAAAGCTATTTCTGAAAACTGTGAGAATATAAATTATTTTTAAAGTTTATTTTATGTATTTTGAAAGACAGAGAGAGCACGCACATGCAAGAGAGGGGCAGAGAGAGAAGGAGAGAAAGAATCTCAAGCAGGCAAAGGGCTGTCAGCACAGAAAAGCTGGATGTGGGGTGGATCCCACCAACCATGATATCGTGACTTGAGGTGAAATCAAGAGTAGGATGTTTAACTGACTGAGCCACCCAGGCGCCCCTAGGACATACATTATGATATATATCCTTCCGTTCCACTCTACACACATAGAAACACAGAGATGCACACACACAGCCCAAAGAGGTTACTTTTTTTTAAATTTAAAAAGTTCAAAATTTTTTCCACTTAAAAATATATCACAAAAATTTTCTCATGTAATTATGTATTTTTCTTACATAATTTTTAAGTTTTTATTTTACTTCCCATTAGTTAACATACAAGGTTATATTAGTTTCAGAGGTACAATACAGTGATTCAACAATTCTCTATCACCCAGTGCCCATCATGATTTTCTGACATAATTTTGAATTCCATGTTAGTATTTATATCATACAAATGTATCAATTTATTTGATCAAATTCCTATTAAGCATTTAGGTTCTTTCTAATTAAACAATACTACACTGAACATTATTGTGGATTGTTTGTTCATATCCCTAAGAAGTTCCTCAAGATAAATTCCTAGAAGTGAAACTGCTAACTCAGAAAAGCTACATATCTTTTTATCATGGAATGTTGTCAACACACCTTAAAATAATCATGGAATATTTAAACACACACAAATACAAACAGAAAAACAGAAGTCATCTTCCCACCCCCATGTACTTGTACCCACCATCCAGCTTCACTAATTATCAAGTCATAAACAATCTTGTTTCACGTATGTGTTCACCCACTTCCCCTCTGTAGTATTATTTTGAAAGTAATATCAGATATCATATGACTCAAGTATGGATATCTAAAAGATAAGGACCTTTAAAAATATAGGCCAATTATATCTAGAAAATATTAACAATTCTTTAACATTAAATATTATGTCAAGTGATTCAATCTCCAATTGTGTCATAAATGTTATACAGAATTTTAGTTTATTGCATATTTTAAATTTCTCATAACTTGTACCTGTAGCATATGAGAATGCAGATTAGGGAGGGAGGGGGGATGGGCATGGAGGAGGACACTTGTGGGGATGAACACTGAGTGTTATGTGGAAACTAATTTGACAATAAACTTTTTGTAAAAAAAAAAAAAAGGAAATGCAAATTGTAAAAAAAAGAGAATGCGATTAAACTCTATACTTAAGACATTGCCATCTAAGACCTATATGTGTGTGTATATATATATATATATATATAAAATTACATAAACTTAATATGTCTACAATTAGATAAATACGTTACATTTCAGTATCCATACGCAAAACATAATTTTAGCTAAAGAGTTACTAAATCTGTATCACAGTAAAGTGCTTTAAAATGAATTACATGGAACCAGTTACAAACTCAATGTACCATTCTCTTGGTAATACAATCTCTGTTATCCAGTGAGAATTTCTAAAGATGACAAATACCTGACCAGGATGTCTACTCATTGCTATTAATAAATTCATGCATTCATACAACTTTTTCTCACTTTATCAAATTTACTAAGGTATAATTTAAGTACAATAAACTATATTCACTCAAAGTGTACAATCTGATGCATTTCGGCATATGCATACCACCATAATAAAGGTACAGAATATTTACATCCCACAATAGTTTCCCCATGCACAGAAGAGAGATGTTCCCTCCACTCTCAGCCACAGGAAAACTAAAGACTTGTTGTTAACTTTAGATTAGTTTGCATTTTCTAGAATTATAAATAGAATGGTACATATTCTTTAGGGTTTGGCTTCTCTCAATCTTAACATAATGATTGGAATTCATTGATGTTGTTATATATATATCAGTATTTCATTCCCTTTTATTACTGAGGAATATTTCATTGTATGGATATACCACATTTTGTTTGTCTGAGCATCCACCAATAGACAGATTTAACTGAAAGTAATAATGTAATAATAATACACTGGAGGGATGGAGGGCATAAAGAAAGGAAAGATGAGGGAAATGTTGGAGACAAAACTTCATCAATAGTAAAGGAAGTTGTTAGACAATGTCTAAATGTATAAATTGAGAAATCCTCTAGAATATTTAAACACTGTGGTAGTATGGTGGATTATATGATTGTTCTCAACTCCCTGGAAACAACCCCAGGTATATATATACATCCCTGCCCTTAGCCATATAACTTGCAGCCCCTTTTTGTAGGTGGAGAAGATTCCCTGGCCCAGGGTTAAGACTTGGCTGTGCATCTTGGTTGAGCTGGTAGAATATAAATGGAAGCAATAGTGTGCCCGTTCTCCAGAAACTTTCAGAGGTGTTGCATGTGCCTGCCACCTCTTGCCCCCTTCCCTCTGCCATGACAATGCCATGTCCAAATAGGGGCTGCTCTTTCAGTCTAGGTCTAGGAATGACAAGACATGGGAAACAGAGCTGGAGCAGGGCCATGACAGTCCATCTATAGCTATCAACATGTAACATGAGTGAGAAATAAATGTTTGAGATCATGAGATTCTGGAAAGCTGTAATTGTTTGTTACTAAAGATAAGCTGACTAAATTTGTCCAATTTAGTCTTTTTAAAAAGATGCCTTCCTTTAAACATTTATCAACTAGTATTCTGATTTATAGTAAGTCTTTTGAGTACATTTAGCATGAATCATTCCTCTGAGCCCGATTAAACCTAGGAGAATTAAGAAACGAAGTGTTTAATTCTCCAATCAGTAATCACATAACTACAGTAGGGATGTGCTTTAGCTAAAAAATATCTATCTTACCTAAACTCCAAACTCTGTAGTGAATATGTGAAAGAAACACCAATACCCAAGCAATACTTCTTAAAGAGCTTCAAGCTTTCCAATAACCTCATCATACACAAAAAAACTTTTAAAATTTACTTGAATTACATTTATCCAAAAATCACATATCATGATACAGTGTTAAGTATTCCATTTTAAAATGTCTTAATGAACAAAAACTGAAAATTCTGAGACATATTTTATCTAAATGAGGTTAAAAATTTATCAAGTCATTGTTAACAGGTCGCTCGGTTCTTGTCCCAGATGCATCAAAGAATTGGAGACCCAAGACCAGATTGAGATAGAGTTTATTGAGTAGACAATTATATTACACTTTCAAAAGTGAAAGTGGGCCACAGCCAGAGCAAGACTGGCAATGATACCAACAAGCTCTAGCTGCATCATTTTAACCCTGCTTTCTGCACATGTACATTTGGCTTTGATTGACATTTTTAAAAAATGTTTATTTTTGAGAGAAAGAGAGCAGGGGAGGGGCAGAGAGTGGGGGGACAGAAGATCCCAAGTGGGTTCCATGTTAACAGCAGTGAGCTGATGGGACACCTGGGTGGCTTAGTCGGTTAAGCGTCCGACTTTCGCTTAGGTCATGATCTCACGGTTGGTGGGTTCGAGCCCTGCATCAGGCTCTGTGCTGACTGCCAGCTCAGAGCCTGGAGCCTGTTTCAGAGTCTGTGACTTCCTCTCTCTCTGACCCTCCTCTGCTCAAGCTGTCTCTCTCTCTCCTAGAAATTTAAAAAAACAAACAAACAAACAAAAAAACATTAACAGCAGTGAGCTGATGTGGGGTTCGAACTCACAAACCATGAGATCATGACCTAAGGTGAAGTCCAAGTTCAACCAGTTAAGCCACCCAGGTGTCCCAGACTGACATTTTTGATGGACAGCAGCTGATTATATCATATTTTGCCTTCTGCATATGCACATACCCATGATACATTCTGTGATAATTGTATTTATTTATGGAGTGTATATTTATGAGTATTCCGAGCTTTTGTTCTGGCCTTAATGGTACTAAGGGCAAGTTACGCCTTCTGTGTGCATGCTCAGCTCTTCATAGTCCCCTAATAGCTTTTGAGCCAGCACTATGGCTAGGCGTTTGCTGTTTTGTTAGCCCTTAGCTGTGGCTCTGAAGTTGGTGTTAATCCTCAGGGGTAGCTCTGAGGGTGTGCCCAGCATCTGCTTTATCTCTCTTAGCTCATGCCTAACTAAATGCCTAACAATTTTTAAATACAATACCTACTTAACAAAATAATTTAATAAATATTTCCTGATTAAAAGTATATGAATGAATGAATGAATGAATGAATGAATGAGTGCATAGATGGATGGATAGATGGATGGACAAACTATCATACTGATAATATGCTTGGCTTGAGACT